TCATGTATATCGATGAATTATCAAATTTAATTCTTTCTAAAAAATCTAATCAATTTAAAAATTGTTCGAACTCGATCAAAAACGAGATATACTTTTTCGACGTAGAAAATCACTCTTTCCTCGATTAAATTATCCCGTGTGGACATTTTTTCCACGAGAAAATCTCAACGTGGTTCACGTAATTGGTTATTATCGGAAGATGAAAACAATAGTTATTCTCCCCGAACACATCAGCTCGTTCGAATCGCGGTTCAATCGGTTCGTACACGCGCGAGAGATCCGGGTCCGATTCGAATCGCTTCTCCAATCGAATTAGTTCCGACCGATCCCTCCGCCTGCTCGCGGATCCAAGATCACCGCTCGATCCTTCTTACCAGAGACTGGAATTAATTTCTCCGGTTTAGGATCTCGGTGATCCTCTCGTTTAATAAGTGGCCGATCCCTGCTCTGCCCCCGCCGGGGAAAAGAGGATGAGGAGAGGCCACGTCGAACCATTTCCCCTCGAACTTTTCCATTTAAAATCCGCGCCGTGGATAGGAGAGAGGAAAGGAGGGGGTTCCGCTCCCATCGCCGGGAATAAAAGCGGAATGATCCACGATCGTTGTCCCGCGAATTTTTCACGGTTGTTGCCGCGTAACGGCGGGGCTGGTATCCTGAAATTTTCAACGAGTTATACGCGGAAAGTTGGAGAGGAAATAAGAGGATGGAAAGAAAGGATAAGGGAATGGAAGAAAAAGGGAAGCAACAAGGGCCTCGAAGGTGTGGCGGATGAAATACGAGGTTGGCCGCGATTGCTCGGTAAGGAAAGGAAACACCGTTGTACAGAGGCGTGCCTTTCTACTACGTGAAGGGTACTATACGAGAGGGAGAGAGCGTGTTCTTAACTCGGCAAAGATGGTAGTAGTAACCCGGCCATATTGTTACGAGGACGAGGGTGGACGAGTAAGGAAGGGGGACAGGGGTTGCAAAGGCCACGAAACAAAGTTCGCCCGGGCGTATTTAAACTTTTATTCGAAAACTTTTTAGCGCCACCCCCGCCACCCTCCGTCCTCCTCGTGCTCGTGCTCGTGTCCTCGCTGTCATCGTCTTGTTCGCGTAGGTACGGCGGCGAACGGTGTTTAAAGGGTCGCTTGTTTGCCAGCCAGAAATGAAAGAAAGGAGGGAAGGTCTTCCGGCGAAGTTGTTCTCGCGGGCGCGGAAGGGAAACACGACGGAATATTTCACGGGAACGGACGGCGCTCTGAAAATACGGACGGGGTTGGAGGAGGATTATACGCGGGCAGGAGGGTATCCGGGGAGGGAATTAATTGAGTGGATGCCTCTCTCTCTCTCTCGAGATTCTGCAAGCCCTCCGCTCACCTGTTTATTTTTGGACCAGCTACGGTCGAGGCGAGGATACTTCTTATTCGCAACGGTGCAAGTTTCCCCTCTTACCTGGAAATTAATTATTTCTTGTCCCCGTGAGCGGGGCGTTTAATCTCGCATGCTTTTGGAAAATTGTTAACGAGCCGGTGAAATTTCTCCCCGAGAAATTCTTCCTGTAATCGGTGTTTAAAATGTAAATTCTGTATAGAGGTATATAGATGTCGGACAGAGATGGAGGCTCGTTTCGTAGGATTCGAATGCTTTTGATGAGACGGATTTGCCAGGTATTTCGAAAATTTTCTTATATAAATATCTCTCTGATCTCGTTGAATTGTTGCTAATTCGAGTCGTAATGGAAAAATTATTAGACGAATTATTCTCAATAATTTTCTTTTTTTTTTTTTATCTCTGTGTACTTATTGATATTCGTTTTGACGACGAAAGAAAGTTGAAGTCGGTTGTTATCGTTGCGCATAGGACAGATTTGAATATTATGAGAGTCGGTAATGAGTGGCGTATCATCTTACCAAACAGCGACTCCGTATGAAGGGTAGCGATACGTATAATGCTATACGGTCCCGTGTTGGACATGAATCTGAATTGCACCCTTGGTTGATGCTCGCTAAGCAAAATTACCATCTAACCAAAGTTTCAATCTTCTGTGGGCAAAGATTGCTTCGGGACTGCCTCTGGCGAATGTAGATCTTAAACTTCAGTTTGGCTATTCCGTTTTGTTTTCATTGCGAGTGTAGTACCTCTCTGTACTTGCTTGGAGACTAATTTCAAAACTTATCGGAATTCGATGGAAAAAACGTAAATTTGTTATTTATCAGAGAATAGAATAGAATCTCTGTTCTATTATCGTAATACCTGACTACGTAAACGTGTTCAAAATCTTCCTGTAAATTCGTAGCGTGAAAGCTGTTCACAATGATCGACATGGTGTAACTGTACAATATTGTAATTAAAGAAAGAAGAAATGCTTGAAGAATGCATCATAAGAGATTCGTCACAAAAATATAATTTTAAAAAGTCAATAATTAAAACGATGAATTGGAATATGGAATATGGATGTATTATTCAAAATTACTTTGCAAATATAATATGTACATCAACGAGTAGAGAGATTAATAAAGAAGAACGATCGATGTTGTATTCCAATGTGACGTGGAAATAAAAAACAATATCCCTAATATTTTGATTAATCGAATTAATCATCTATCAGAAAAACTTGAGAATTTAAATGAAAAATTCCAAGACGCGTTTCTCGATTAATTCACTTCAACATGATTCTTCCCATCTCGGCCCCAAATCAAAATATTATCCCCGGTTAGTTAAGTAAGCATTTTATCATCGTCGTAAGTTATAAGGGAAACTCGAGGGAAGGAGCAACAGACATATTTGTGCAACATTCTCGAATCGAGGAGTGGTTTCCATCGTAGTTACGAAGTTTGAGCAACTCTGGCCCCGAGTTCGAGAATGAAGAGAGGACTCGATTCTTGCGGATAAGGAGGAGGAGGAGGAGGAGGAGAAGAAGAGGAAAAAAATAAATAAATAAAATTGGTCGAGTACCGAAACGATCGAGTTCCTCCAACCAAGTTTCGAGACGGTGGTGTGCTCGCATCCTCGAAGAAATTCCAGTTTCTAGCGCTTTTTCGAGGGGGAGGGGGGCGTATTTCGCGTGAACGAACTTCCGATTCCTCGAGATTGCACACGAGAAGGGATCCTCTGACCGGTGGAATTCCAAATTCATTCAGCTTCCCGATATAATAATACCTGCTGCTCGTCCATTCCTCTGCCTCGTTTATTCGCCGGTATATGTGATATCATCCCCCTCTCCCCCTCGATCATTCGAGGCGAACGAGTTAATCCCGACACAACGGGTGCATTTTTATCCAATATTACTCTGTTTTAAAATGTTAAGATGTTAAATAAACAACATCGCGTTTCTTCGAGTTTCTTAAGCCAGAAAATTATGAATTATGAAAATATCGTCGAATTTGAATTTATAAAAAAAAAGAAAAGTCCAAAATATTCAGTGATATTCGAGGAAAAAAGATAAGACATCTCTATTCTCTTTCAATTCCATCTGTCATTATTCACCTTGATAAGAGTTTTATTTCGCATATACATCCACAAAAATCTAATCATTACGCGTATATACGTTTATAACGTTTCGAAGCAGAATCCCTTTCCTAAAAAGGAAATTCAAACGATGAAAAAGGAAATTCTTCGCTTATGGATCGTGCATCCCATGAATCCTGCGCCCGCCCGCTTCGATGGGTCAAAAGCTGGAAGAGGTTGGAGAGCGGTATTCCCGGAACGACTTTATCCCGCAAGAGTCGTCGTGGCCGATCAGAGCCGAGAGAGGAGAAGAACGTTCGTCCGACCGTGAATCGTGAAGAATCACGACCCGAAATCGGAGGAGCGTTCCGTTCTTGTTCTTTTTTTTTCTCTCTTCTTCTCTCCATCGAGCGAGTCTTTGTGCAGCCCTTTCTCTCCTCTCCTCGCCGCGCACGATTCGACGGAACCGTCCTCCATCGAAACGCAACAAGTTGAACTTGGCTGGTTTTCAAAGAAGCTGGCGGAATTCATCAAACCGGCCCACGATTTTCATCGCGCGTCCGAATCTCCAACCTGGATCGCGCGCATTTTCTTCTTCTGAGGAAAGAAGAAATCTGCCCGGATCTTGCTCGAAGCTGTTCCGTGAGTGAAATTTGCGGAAACGTTGATCGTTTGCTCGCTCGAAGAAGGGATTTAAGTTTGTTGTTTTCGGGGAGGGAAAAAAAATTTACGACGATTGTAACTGATCTTTACTTGGATTAACCGATTGATAAGGATAACAAGATCTTCCCTGTATCGAGCTTCCTACTATGTTTATATATATATGCTCGACGAGTGCTTTTGATGGCTCTCTACTTTTTCCTTGTTTCTTTTCTTCTTCCTTTTTTCTTCGTGAGTTTCTTCTATGAAGGGTATTTCAAAGTTCACGTTGGGATGAGATATCCGGAATTTGCCTAAACTTTCTTCGTCCATGTTCGAAGGGGGAAGGGAAAAGGGGATGCATGTACACACACACACGATGCTGGAGTTCTCGCTTCGTCGATTTCGTTCGGAATAACGATCGTAACGTTGGCCGATACAGCGTCGTATATGTATACCGGAGCCGGGTCCGGTTTAATCGTTTTTCGGGTGGGGAAGAAAAAGAGGAAAAAACGAACGAGATAGGTGGCTAAACTGCGCATAGAATTAAGCTCCCATGGTTACGTGACTATCTCGCGCAGCTGTGATCGAGATTCAATTAAGAAACGAGAAAAGAGATCCTCTCTACTTGATCGTGTTTCTACTTCTCGTGAAATTCGTCCACCCTTGTACGACACGAAATGTACATACACGGGGGAAACCAGATGCGAGAGGATTAAACGATAAAGAAGCGAAACTAAAGTGAAGCTCGAAATAGAAAGAGAGAGAGAGAGAGAGAGAAAGAGAGAAAGAGAAAGAGAGAGGAGGGGGGAAGAAAAAAAGAAGGAGAGGAACGAAGTAAGTAATATAGAGACGGTGTTGGTGAAGGGGAAAGCGAGGGGGAGGAAGAGAGTTGGCTGGGTTAGATGAGAAAGGTCCTAATCTATTTTCAGGACGACCGAGCACGCCGTCACCAGCAAAAAGGCCGACCACCGTGTGGCCATCCTCGTACAACCCGTACTATACGAAAAGGACAGAGAGGCCGCCTCCCCCGAGCGAGGAGAGGGTCGAGAGGCCAGAGCAGAAGCTACGTGGTGGGCAGAGCACAGGTGAGGCTTGCATTCTCTCATCTGGCCCTCCCTCTCCCGCTCTTTCTTTCGTTTTTTACAGTCGTGTTGTCATTATTCGTGACTATTATTCTCTCTGTGTGTTCTCCTCCTCCTCCTCCTCTCCCCGCCCCGCCCCGATTTTCTACGCCACGCACGCAAACGCACGCGCAAATCACACACGCATCTCCCTCCCTCCCTCCCTCCCCTCGCAATTGGCCGCGCTGCCCTCGAAGAGGACGCTGTTTGTCACGCGATATTCTGCACTTACGTACACCGCGTGCACCGCACTAGATCGAATTGAAACGCACGAGGGGGAAGGGGGAACAGGTTGCGTTATCGAGGGTTGGTTCGCAAGCAAGTCAACCCTTCTGCAGAGGATGAGATGTCGTGGATGATGTCGTGGGAGATGATCGTGGGGATGTGTATTGTGAACGAGGCATGTCTCGCTAGTGTATGGTATTGATAACGAAATTGTGAGTAAATAGAATGGAAAAAATTCGCGTCTCGTTCCACGATACGCGAGAGGAGGGTATTTTGTTGAGAGAGGATGGCTAGAATCGAGGTATCTCGTTCACGCGGGCGAAAGGGCTAATCGTGAAACGTTTGACATTCGATTTTCGACGAAACTTTGCCGTCGCTTTGAAACTGATATAGCGAGGAGCAAGATACGTTCTCCTTTCTTTCTTTCTTTCTTTCTTTCTTTCTTTCTTTCTTGTCTCGTTGGCGCCATCCACTTGGCTCGAGTTTAAAGAAAAGAAAGTGCAAAGAGAATTGGGTTAGGGGAGAGGGGGTTAGTTCCTCGAGTGTTGAACTCGCAACTTAAAAGAAAATACGCCTCGGTCGTTTCAAAAATATACAAAGTTCCCTTGAAAAATCCCTGTCGAACGTTTCGCGATCTGGCGAGGAAACGATCTTAAGAGACGCACAAGCTTATCGAAAGCTTCTAAAAAGCCTAGTTCCTCGCGAAGAAACTCGTAGCTTTTGTTCAAAGTGATCGTGTATTTAGAGCGTACGAAAGTACGAGAGCAAATCTTTTTATATAGTTGGCAAGCTTGAACCGTTTTTTATTTGACAAAACGAATGGCGCAAAGCTTTTCTTTAGAAAGTAGAACGCTTAGAAATATATAGGGAAGAGTTGGTTGATTCACATTTCACGGTCAAGATTCAAAAACTCGAGGAATTTTAATACTCCCCTACGCCTACCTTTTATTCCTCTCTTTTTCGTAAATTGCTCCGCCCTCGTTTTTTTCCTTTTTCCTTTCCTTTTCTTTTTTTTTTTTTTCTTGTCGAGATATCTGCTTACCAGTAAGACCGGTACCTTTCAGTCCGGAACAACTCGCTGTGAACTCGTCGTCGCGTTTGCGAAATTTAAGGGTAACCCTGTTTGCGCTGCATAATGCATCGCCTGTTTACAAGAATGCTCGCGTAGACAAGAATTTAAAACGTTAAGAGGCGCGTCGAGCGGAAAACAGCCGCGGGCCAAGCGAGAAGAGCCGCTACTTTCGTCTCGCCACCCTTCGGCTCATCCTCTTTTCTCATTTACGCAAATAAGATCACGCCTCGGCTTCTTTACGGTCTTAAAAGCGGCGTCGGCGTAATCACGTGCGCGATAATTCGGATACCGGATATAATTTCCAGAGTCGTGCAAGATAAAAAAAAAAAGAAAAAGAAATATTTCTCCTTTCTTTTCTCTTTACTGTTGTAATGCAAAACAATGCTGCAATCGTAAGTGGGTAATGTGGATGAAGAGAAAACTACGAAATTAGCGAAGTGGGGATTTAAAACATTGGACCAGCGTTGTTCAGCTCAGTAAGATCCAAAGTCTTGGGCATCCGATTACTGGTTTAATTACCTTTAACTTTGCCCTCGGCAATGTTTTGGCTATTATGTAATTAATCCCAATGAGATATTTCAAACTTCGATTCTTGCTGCTTTATTCCTCGACCATTGTTCGGCAAGATACGCTGAAAATAAAGCTGTGGACAAAATAGTCTGAGAAAGTAAAAATATAACAATTTCCAAATCGTTCGAGTATATTTTTCTTCGATCTTTCTTTCTTCAAGTTCGTTTTTAAATTTTATATAAAAAGTGTCATTACTATTTACGGATCAAAATCTAATAATTTTATCGTCTCCTCCGTTATTATTTTCATTTTCATTTTCATCCTCCCTATAGAAAATCCATATACTTTTATCCAAATCTGGTTTCAAACGTATCCTCCTCAGTTTCATCTGCGCTATTTCCATCGATTCCACTCGCCAATATTCTCTGACCTAATATTCCAATTTTATCGTCGCGAAAAAAAGTCATCGTGAAGAATTTACCAAATCTGACAATTTAATTTCGCGGATAACGCGATATTTTCGCCCGCTGGATACGAGTTAACGATCGAAACCCAACGATGAAAAACTCTCCCCTGAATCAAAATTTACATCGTCGGTCATTCGAATAATCAAAGAGTTATGAATACAATACTCGTGCCCTGATAACTCAGTAATTCGTACCGATTAATCGATCTTTCGAAAATCGTCTTCCAATTTTATTAAACGACGAGCAGAACATTGGGGCCGTGTATCCAGGAAAAGTGAACCGAATCGTTCGAGCATTTACCGTTTTGTCACCGCGATACAAATAGCCCTGTGCCACGCCGTCCATAAAATATCCTCGAGGGTGTTATCACGTGGCGATCCGTGTCACCGGTGAAGCATCGTTCCGCCGGTTGCCCATTCATTTTCATTCATTAACGGCCGTTAACGTCGTGATATTTTAGCCGATCCGGGGAAAAATCAACGCCGGTTGTCCGTCCCGGAAAATCTGTCAATTAGCCGGCAACTTTCACATCCGTGTCGTCCTTTCCTTTTTTTTTTTTTTTTTTTTTTTTTCTTTTAGGGAAGAATATATTTTCACGACAAGGAAATTTTGATAATGAGAATATTTGGACGAGGCGCGCGCAATCGTTCATGGTTTAACGATACGCTATTATTGATCCTCGATAATGAAGCAATTTGACAGAGAAATGACAGAATATATTTTTGAAACGCTAAGAGATTTATATTTTATTTCATATAAGGTGTAAGGATTAAATTTGTGTGAGTAAGAAGGTTTAATTATATCTCTTGTTATGTGAATTTATTTAGAGAAATATAATTTCGTTTAGAGATTTTAATTATGATTAATAATTTAATGGTGGTGTTGCAAGTGAAGGAAAACAATTTTATACAATTTTATGGATACAAAATATTATGTAAAATAGAAAGACATTGGTTCACATTTAACATAACAAAATACTTCTAATACTACTCTAAAAAATTATTTCATTCGCTTGGAAACGGATCTCATCCAACAATAATTGAAATATCATTAAACTCTGCTAGCAAACAGTTCGAAACTGTCATTATTATATATATTGACCATCTGACAGTTCCACGCCATTACGCTCGAAAAACTCTTCGATTCAAAAAAAAAATCATTAAAAACTTATTTCATTCGCCAACAAACAAGGATCTCGCCCAGGACAATAATTGAAATATCATTAAACTCGGAGCAAACAGTTCGGTCCACTGTTATGTAAACTATGGTCTGACAGTTGCACACCACCACTACTACTACCCGATGCAGTCCTACAATCGCCGCAGCAACCAAACGTGACCAATTGTGCAGCGTTTAAACTACGTTTCTGAAGGAAAATGCGTTTGAAATTTTACACGCGGCGCGAATGGCGAGGGGAACACTCGGGCGCGAAAGCTCGAGAGAAAGTCGGCGGGCACGTACGCGGCCGCGAGTGTGGCCAGGATTTGCCGGACGTATGTAGCTAACATTGGCGAAACGTGCGAAAGTCCGCCATCGAACGGACAAAGTTCGATAAAGGGGTGTGAACCCGGAGATATTTTTACAACGGAGCGCGTATCTAGAATCTAGATAACGAGAAAGGATCGGCTCGAACGATCTCTCCCGTGGAAATTGCTGTCGTTTGCGCGATTATGTCGGATCAAATGATCACGATCTCATGCTGTGATATGTGAAGTTCGAAGGTTGAAACGTGTCCAAGATCGATGCTTTTATTATTATTACTCGGACAGATCGAAGATAGTACTTGTTACAAGATACTTTGAAATTTTGATTTGACAATATATATACGTGTGAATATTCGAATATTTGAATTTCAGTGTAAATATTTGAATATTATTAAATATTTGTAATTCGAATACTCGAATAATCTCGATTTTTCTTTCGCGATTCTTAAAATTCCTAAGATTGAAATATTATTTTACAGTTTATGTAAAGTATATAGATATATACATTCGAGTATTTGAATTGTTTTTTTTTCTTTCGTATATGAAAAAAATGGAAACAAAATCGAATAATATTTTTCGACGAGATCGTTCGATCGATCGACGTAACACGACGCATTAAAGATGCAACGATGCCTTCTCGACGTGTTTGCTTTACGTATCCGGAAACGGCAAACTCGTTCCATCTTAATGCATTTCCTTTGGTCGACACTTGTTCCTCTGTCGCACGAGCATAAGTGTCTAATCTAATAAAATAGTGAAACGAGTCCATGCCGAGGCGGTCGTTGCAACACCTGCAATCTCGCCGGCTTTCTTATGACTCACTATACAATTGCATACGTTGCATTGCCATAGACGAAAGAGAATATACCTGCTGCAGTATTTCCGTAGAGAAACTTGATCGACATTTAATAATTTAATGATATAAAAATGTAATATGATTTTATTTTTTAAATTCGTTTAATTAGATACAAAATTGAAATCTTTAGAGTAAGAGTAAATCCGGCTTCGACATTTTGATGATGGGCAGTTTCAAACTGAAAAAAATTCGCCAAAGATTGAAATAAAAATTCATCAACTCGTTCATTAATAATTATCGTGAGAATATATCTTTCCTTTTTTCTTAACTTCTTAAATCAAAGCAATAATTTAAAAATTATTACAAATAAACTTGTTTAAATTCTTTCATTGTTAAAGTTAAACTTGATG